CTGGTGGAAATGCAGACTGGTGAAAGCACTGTGGAAATCAGTTTGGAGATTCCTCAGAAAACTAGGTCTTTCATTTAATCTTGATAATAGCTCTGCAAAGCCAACGGCTCTTATTGTGATTATCCCCATTACAAAACTGTGACTTTGTTGAGGTCACTTTGCTACTAGATGGTGGAACTGAGGTTAAAATCCTAACTCTCGTTCCACATCTGCTATACCGTGTTGCTTGGAAAGCTAAGATATTATTTTAGATATCCTTGGATTAGAACTTGTTTTTCCTAGCTGAACTAAACTGGGATCTGAATGTATTTTTATTCTGTTTAGAAGCTACTGTCTTTATACACCTAGGCCCATTTTATTCTGGACTTTGCTTCTGTGTGTGCCTCAGCCTGATGCCTTCATTCTCTAGCCTCTTTCCCAGTGCCTGTATTTTTACACACACACACACACACACACACACACACATACACACAGCCAACAGTGTTAGAATTATATGCTGCTCAGTATTAGTTTAAAGTACCCTTTAGTGATGAGCAACGTGGATAATTTTAACTGTAATTAGTATGGATGTTTTTGGTTCCACATAAATGTCTGGTACCAATTTGACTTGACTGTACTTTCAGTTGCAAGTAGGCTATTTTGAACTTGCTTTCCAGAGTTTGACTTAGTGAGCGTAGATTCTCTGTGGCCAGACTAGAACGAGACCATTCCCCGGGGCCTCAGAGAACGAACCCAGTTCTACTTGTTCTGTGCCAAATTTTGTACTTTCATCAGTGCAGTCAGAATGGGAGGTGGAAAGGGCTTCTGTTGCAAAATCTCTTGCATCTAGTTTGTATTTAATGCCTGCATAAAAACAAATGAACGTGGAAAAATAGCCTTATCTGTATCTTTCTGAACATTGTATAAGTGCTTATGCCATATTTTGAGCAAACAGGGCAAATAAATATTTTTCTGTTTCATATTTTGAAATGCTGACTGGATAAAGATTACACATGACAAGTTATTTATAGCTTTATTTATACATGGTGGATTCTCTGTTGGAATCGTAGGAAGGAAAAAAATATGATAATTGCTTTGTGTAGTTCACAGAATGAAATCGCAAACTGAGATGTTTTGAATCTAGTTTGTACTGTAACCATTTCTAGGAAACCATATTTAAACAGCAGTGGTTATCATGAAGTATGCAACATGTCAACTATGTCCCAATTCACATCAGTAAAAACCTTCTGCCACTTTATTCCCTGTAACCTAACCTCCATCAGATAATGCCAAATAAACTATGTTGAGTGCACATATTAATATATATCAAATGTTCCAAACGGCTTCCTGGCTGCATTTTCAGTAGTGTTTATCTGTGGTCATGCAGGTTATAACTCTGAATTTTTATTAGGAAACCTAAATTGAGAATTTATAATGTTCCTGATTTAGATTCACCAGCTGTGCCGCAGCCATGGAAAATAACTCAAGCGAGTAAAAATCTAACACAGTGTATAAGAGTGCAGTCGTCATATTGCTTTTGCTTCATGCTTACTTTGCATCTGTTACTATAGGGTTTAGGGTCGCATACAGTGATTAGTAATCTCCTAACTTACATTTCAGCAGTGTGCTGAACTGCTTTGTGAACTTTATGTTGTCTCATATGAAATAAGAATAATGATTATTAGTTTATGTTTAATTTTGGGAACCATGAAAGTGATTCTTTAAAAAGTGAATCTTGAATATTACTATAGCAGCAAAAATATATTTATAATTTTATCTTTGTTAAAAGAGCCAGAATGAAATAATTATTCTGTTTGGGTGTCAGATAATTTGGGATTAGTAAAAACTGACTAATAGTTTATAGTTAGATGAAATACTAAAGTAGCAGAGGGATAGTGTAAAAATTACAAGGGGCTCACTGTCAATGTTTAGTTGTGGTATTGTTAGCAAAGGACACTGACATCTCTCATCATAAACATTTTAATTTCTGCTACAGGATGGTATATACACGTTTCATGTGAAACTTGCGCATAAACTTGTGAGGTTTGTTGGATCAGACCAATTCCTGAGGGTAGATAATCCTTATAAACATTGTTTTGTTATAACAGTATTGTAATTACCACCCTAGGCCTGATATATGTTATTTGTGGCTGTTTGGCAGTTTGATTTCAATTGGTAAGGAAGCCCCTACACAGGTGGTGACCATCGTTTTTCTCACCTTTGCACACTGTGTACCCTATAGCAAAGGGTTTTTTCTTCAAGCAACATAAATACATTTTTACTCATGTTGAATTTATAGTTTTGAATTACTTGTTCACAGAAGAAAAATAACAGTTACTTTCATGCAAAATGAAAATGCTTTCCCAGTCAAAAGTTATGTTCGTTAGTTTTTTATTGCTGTAACAAAATACCTGAGACAATCAACTTCTAGGAGCAAAGATTTGTTTTGGCTCATGGTTTGGGAGATTTCAATTCATGGTTGCTTGGCTCTGTTGCTTTTGGGCCTCTGGTGGGGCAGAACATTATGGTGGGGATCATGTGGTAGAGTAAAGCTGCTTTACTTCATAATGACCAGGATGCAAAGAGAGAAGAAGGGACCAACGGTCCAGTATTCCCTTCAAGGGCACAGCCTCAGTGACCCAACTTCCTTCAACTCTTCCCCAACTCTTAAAGGTTCTAACCCTGTCTCCACAGGCTGGTGACTGTGCCTTTGACACATGAGCATTGGGGGACACTTTGCATCAGCACCATAGTGGCAGTCTCATATTTAGTTACTCATCTTTGAAGATCTCACCTGACTGTAACTCTACCAAGTTACAGCAATTAATGGTTATGCATAATTTCTGTATTTAATTTCAACTACTATTTTATAGGGCATGAACCCTATGTTATAAATGAGAAAATTGAAGATTTTGGATATTAAATGGCTTGTCAGAAGCCACAGTGGTATTATTAAATGGTGAAGCTAGGATTCACTCATAACAATTAAAAAAATAAACTAACGTATGTTGAGCACTTAATTGTAGATCAGTCACTATACTAATGTTTTATTTTAACATCAAACCATTTACCTCTCATGTTCATTTTGACTTTGGGGAAGAGCCAGAATTTACATGATGTCAGATCCAGTGAATAAAATGGATGAGAATACAGTATAGTTTTTATGAGCTTGGCTTTCCATTGGATGGTAGTCAGTAGTAGCAGCCACCATATTTTTTCTCAGAACCAGTTTATTAAAAAAAAAAACTCATGAAAGTAAACTTGTAGAACTGCTTCAGAATGTGGCATGGGAAGTATGATTGCCATTTCCATTTTATAAATATAAACAATAAAACGCAGAGAAGTTAATTTTCATCACCTCATGGTTGGTTAGTATTAGAGCCACACAATCTTTTCTCTTGTATTAAAATTGCCTGAAGTTAGCATTGAGATTTGGGCAGCATTGATTTTGATCATTTGGAACATTCATAGTTTGCAAATATTTATTTTTAGAGTTAGGGTTTTTAAATTTTTTTATTCACAGAATAGGTAAGCTTTGAAGTATTTTCTGCTACATTCTGCTGATTATAGAAATGTCTTTATTTTAAAAGATAATTACAAAATTGGGTAGCAAACCAGTTGGGTTCCTCATCAGAAGAATATTCATTTTTGTTTTATTATTGCCATCAATGTAGTTTTTATATAATTTCGTTAATAGTTGTGGAGTACTTGACTTAGGTTATTTTAAATTTTCCACTACATGTGTTGGATATTGTTTTTTTCTTTTAAACTTCAGTAGTAGTTGTTGCATTCTTGTTCATGGGCACCTTACAAAAGCATCTATTTATACTTTTAATACCTCTCTTCTGACCAAAATAGCACATAGTTAGATTTTAATAAATCATAATTTTATATTATTACGGCTTATTATAGTGTCATTTAGAGTGAATGTTTAAATTTTTAAAAATTTAATATAGTAAAGGACACAGTACCATTAATTCCCTCAAAATATCCCCATTCACTTTGAACACATTGATACCACAGATTTTGCGACTTTCTGAAGCAGTTTTACAAGTTCTCTTTTGTGAGTTGCCGTACCAGAAATGATTATAAATATTCTGAGTGCCGCTGCCGAGTGCCAGCCAGGGGAAAGCGAGGCTTGTACAGACTATGCTGTGTCGTCGCGCATCTTATTCTCTGGGTCTGGCACCACGTGAGTTCCAGCTCTGCCCCAACGTCAAAATGACCACGGAGGGTAAACGTTTTGAACTGATTCAGGACATTGAGGCAGCCACAACAGAGACACTCAGGAAAGAAGATTTCCTGAACTGCTTCAGACGGTGGCAAGGGTGATAGGTAACTGTGTGTGTGAAATGAGAGGAAGTATCCCGAGGGAGATTCATGGTGGTGTGTCTTTTACTGTAATAATTACTTTAAAATTTCAATATCCACTGTATTTTTAGACCACACCTTATAGAATATGACCTCCAGTATTGAATTTAACAGTTTTATTTTGAAAAGGGTTGGCTCTTTCCTTGGAAGTTATATTTTTGACTATAGTTAATTTGGAGAAACTTTATATTTTTCCTGCCTGCATATTCCAGGAGGAAGATTGTGTAAATGGAAAGTGCTTTAATGGCATTTACTTTTAAACAAAATTTTAAATTTTTGAGATTAGCTGAAGACATTTTAAAAAAGCAATTGCTGATAAGAAATGAGAACTACTAAGTTTGACTAAACTTCCTTCAACCAACATATAGATATTTGTAGGTTTGAGGTTTTGTGCCTTGTGACATAGCTATAATGACGACACAAACTTGATACCTTTATTTCTGGAGCTTGTAAGCTGTTAACTGAATGAGATAGATACACAGATAACTGTAATGCAGAGCACACACAGGAGGTCCTCCGGCTAGGCATGAACAAAGTGAAGTGTGGCATCAGCTAGATGAAAATCCTTTTCCCCTGGGAGGAGCTAGGGAGTTCTCAGGGAGTAGGTAGGATTTGAATAGAGCTTAATTTATTGCTTTCATTCATTCTAGACTGTCTTCTGAAGATTGATGTGTATTTCCTTGAGTTCTTTAATTTTGTTGCCAATTTGGATAAACATGGCACAAATCCACCAGGGAGGTCCAGATGAAAAAGAAAAGACCACAGCACTGAAAGGTACATACTCAATTTGCTTTTTCAAGTAATTCTCTTTGTGCCTAGAGAAGATGTAGGAATATTTAGGTGACCTTGTTCATCTTGATTCTAAGATATGAGTACCAAAGCTATTTGTAATTATTTTTATCCCTCACAAGCACTATTACTGTGTCAGATGTCATACATACTTCATAAATAAATCATAGACTCATGTAATTTTATAAGAACTATTGGTGCTCTTCTTATTCAAGGTCATACATTTAATAGTAAAACTAACATAAGTTTTTTTGAATCAAGATTAGTGCCCTGACCGTACTTTGGTTGATTGGAATGTCATACTGGGTTAGGATAATGATCTGGCTGCTTTTGAATCCTGTCTTTGTGGCATTGGCACTAGGGATGTCTTACGACAGGCCCATGTTCATGTTTCACAAGGAACCTGCCCAATGTTAGGGAATTTTTGAGCTACAGATTATTTTTAATCAAAAAATCTACAATCTATTATAATTTTACTATTAAAATAAGTGTAAATTGTTAATCTGTACAGTCTTTTCATTACCATATATTTAATCTGTCTAATCACTTATCTAAGATCAAATTATCTTACCTTTGTAAGGTCTCCAAGTTACTTCATTTGGTGGTAGAAAACATGTCGTATATGTCTTTTTAATATTCAGATGCCAACTGTGGTAGTGTATTTTGTGCAGCTATAACAGAAAGAAGCAGACTGGATAATTTATAACAGACAGTATCGACTCACAATTCTGGAGACTGTCCAGCCCATTGTCAAGGTGCTGGTATCTGGCAGGGACCTTTCCGCTGTACCATCCCGTCATTGAATGTAGAAGGCCAAACAAAAGAGGATCCCATTTAACTTTTTAGAACAGCAGCAGTCCACCCACAGGAGTGGCCCAGTCATCTTGTTTGGATCCCAACTCTTAACACTGTTACAAGGGCAACGAAAAACATAAATTTTGTTTTTTTTTTTTTTGGTTTTGGTTTTTTTCCGGTACCGGGAACCGAACTCACGACCTTGCGCTTGCCAGGCAGGCGCTTTGCCGCTGAGCTAAATCCCCAGCCCCGAAAAACATAAATTTTGAAGGGACTATCTTAGTCACTGTCCTCATCATGGGACAAAATACCTGACACTCACAACTGAAAGGAGGGCAGGCTTACTTTGGCTCAGTGTTTTCAGTCCCTGGTCTTTGACTCCAAGGCACAAATGGCATAGTAGTCAGGCTAGGGCAGCGGAATATCTCACATTATGGTGAGCAGGAAGCCGAGAGAGAAGGGAGGAGCCAGAGAGGAAGATATACCCTTCCCTGTCACATCTACACTGACTCACTTCTAGCCAGGCCCCACCTCCTAACAGTAAGTCAGGTATAGTGCCCTGATAACCCACTTACCTTTCAGGTACATGAAGCTTTTGGAAGACGTCCCAGATCTAAAGTATAACAGGGACAGATATTGAGGACAAACATTGAATCTGTAGCAGTGGCTATGTCAAATGATAAGGTTCCCTTTTTCTTGATTCATTGTACAGTCTAAGTGGTCTTAAAGCTTTCCAGGATATATAGTGCATGCCCTGGGTACATACGTACCATATACATACATCCTGCATCTTGGTGTTTGTGAGAATTTCATAAGTGTACCTCAAGAGCAAATGTAGCATAAAGCAGCCAGTTTCTTGCCTCACTTAGTGTCATGTAATCTTGCTTTTAGAGGTCATGATCTAATGATGGTAATGATCTAAAAATAGACAATGACCAAGAAGGTTACTTTCTTTAGGCTTTTAGACGAAGTCTTCTCACAAATATAAGAGATGAAAGTGATGGATTAGGTTGATAGCAAGGGGAACATGAAAAGTTGACAGAGTTTTGGATATATTTTGAAAGAAGCAATGGCATAATTTGATGACATATTGGAATGAGATGTTAGAGAAGAACTAAGATAATGCTGAAGGTTCTTGATTGAAATAACTCTAAAATAAGTGGCTTTAATTAAAATGAGAAAACGCTGAGAAAACCAGGTTGAGGGAGTTATAATGTTGGATAGGAAGAGTTAGGTTTTGGCTGTATTAAAATGATCACTGAAACATTGAAGTAGAGATGTTGAGTTGTGGGTTTGTGAAAGAGTTTGGGCTGGAGATAAAAGTTTGTATGTGTGTAATTCAGTACAACCTGATCCCATGTATTGATTTCAGGATGACTGCACTCAAGCCATGAAACATTCTACCACCACAGTCTCTTCTGCTACCCTTTGGAAGTTATGTTCCCTAACTTCCAGGCAGGCATCTGTGCCACTGAGCTATCTCCCCGGCCTTAAGGTGTTCTCTAACTTCCAGCCCCATTCCTTGTCTCTGGCAATCACCAATCTTTCTCTGTTTCTATAGTTTTGTAGAGTTCTCTATTTTGTGACATGGATTTAAGCATCTACTATATTTGCTACCTATGGTAGCTGTATACTGTAGTAAGCTATATACTGTAGTACTGTAGTAACACTGAGCAGTCATTTCCTCACTCTATTATTTTTGAATATTCTTTGCAGGTACATTTAGAATAACTTTGTCCATATCTTCAAAAATGTTAGTCAGATTTTGATAGGAATTGTTTAGACCTACAGGTAAATTTGTGAAGAATTGATATAATTACTTTATCTAGTCTCCCAATCTATGTACCTAGTATGTCTTTTGTTTATTTTGACCATTGAGTTCTTTCATCTGCATTTTGCAATTTTGAAAAGATAAACCCTATACATATTTATAGTAATAAAAGTATAGTATAAGTGTTATAAGTTTTTGTAATAATTGTAAATGGTGGTATATTTTTTAATTTGTTTCCACATGAATACTGATTGTTTATGGCTTTGATTACTAACTTGTTAGTGCTAGGAGATTTTTGCACAGATTTGTTGGGATTTTCTATATGGATAGTGATGTCATTTGCAAATTGCGTGGTGCTGTTTCTTCCAGTTTGATGTTATGCCTTTATTTCCCTTTTTGTCTGTGTTGTAATTGTTAGGACTTTTAATACCATCTTGACTAAAAACAGTGAGAACTGGTATTCCTTGTTGTTCCTGACTTTGATGGGAAAGTATTGTCTTTCCCTATTAGGTATTTTTTTAAAAGATATTTTCTATCAAATACCTGGAAGTTTGTAATTTTGAGTGTTGAACGTTGTTAAATACTTTTCCCACATCAATTAATAATCATGCATTTTTTTTTTAGCCTATTGCAGTGGTGGACTGCATGTTGATTTTTTAAAATTTTATTTTAAAGAGAAAACAAAAACAACAAACACAAAGACAAAACAAAACAAAAATAATAAAAACAATACAGAATTTCAAACAAGGCGATAGAAAATTAACAATGGTTGTTGTGTTACATCTTGTTAATCTTCAAATTGGTTACTCAGATAAACAAGTATAGGCATGTAAAATTGATCAAACAATTAAACATTTACTGTTCCTTTCAATAAAGCAATAGAAATTAGTAGTACAATTACTGTAGCTATCTTGGGTGTATATGTGTATATGTATGTTATTCCCCCTTCCTTCTTTCTTTTTTCTTTTCCCTCATCCCAGTTGTTTTTTCCTTTTGAGCAGTTTCTTTCCCTTTCACAGTATGTACTGTACCTTTCAGATTTTATTTACTCTTTCAGGTTCCTATACTAGGGAGATAATATAATGTTTGCACATGTGATTCTAATTTATTTCACTTATGAGTATGGTCTCTAGTTGTGACCATTTACTTATAAAAGTCTTGAGTTTATCTTTCTTTATAGCTGAGTAATACTTCATTATATTAAAATACTACAACTTTTTTTTTTTTTTTTTTTTTTTTTTTTGGTTTTTTCTCCGGTACCGGGAACCGAACTCAACGACCTCGCGCTTGCCAGGCAGGCGTTTTTGCCGCTGAGCTAAATCCCCAGCCCCTAATACTGAGATTTCTTAGTATCTCTGAGATTAACTTGGTTTGTCCAGTCTCTCTGAGATTAACTTGGTTTGTCCAGTCTCTCTGAGATTAACTTGGTTTGTCCAGTCTTGAATTTTAGCTTTTCTGGTGCATGTGCAATGATGAGAAATAATTACACTTTGCTTTTCTCTGAGATAAATACTGTTGAACACTATTCTGATCTT